GTCTTGGATATCCTCGCGTGGATTCCCTACGGCATCGCTCATTTCGCGCTCCCGCTCGTTTGTAGCGTTTTCCTGTTCGTTTTCGCCGCCCCTGGTACCTTGCCGGTGTGGGCGAGAGCGTTCGGATACATGAACATTTTGGGAGTCACTATCCAGTTGGTATTCCCTTGCACTCCTCCGTGGTACGAGAAGCTTCACGGTTTGGAGCCAGCTCATTACGGCATGCAGGGATCACCCGCAGGTCTGGCGAGGTTGGATGCGCTTTTTGGGGTCGATATGTACACCACTAGCTTCACAACCGCGCCTGTGCCATTTGGCGCTTTCCCTAGCTTGCACGGAGCCGATGCCGTGTTGGAGGCACTCTTCATGCAGTACTGCTTCCCGAGGTTCAGGCCGTTTTTTATTGCGTACGTCGTTTGGATTGCGTGGTCCACCATGTACCTGAACCATCATTACGCGATCGATCTTGTTGGCGGTGGAACCATTGCCGCGATTACCTACTACATTGCAAGGACTCGGTGGTTGCCCAGACCTCAGCTCGACAAGACCACCCGGTGGGAGTACGAGTATGTTGAGAAGGGAGACAGGCCTAGAGGATTTATGGGTGGTGATGAGGAATCTGGTGCCGGTGGCGCCAGCGGGTTGAGCAGCGGGTACGGCTTGGGCTTGTTGCAGAGGAGAGGGGATAGCGATGAGTGGACTTTGGGAAGTTCTTCGAGCTTTGATTCAATCAGTCGAGGGGATACGCTGTGCGGTAGTAGCAGCAGCAGTCCAGGTATCCTCAGCCCAACAACGCCGGATCACGATCTTGATGGGCGCGATTTATGGATGGGTGCGAGGTTGACTTCTCCGAGGGGAGCAGAAAGCGATCGGAGCGTGAGTGAGACGAGGTGATAAAGAGTTGTCGGTTTCCCCCTAATATTTTCGGTTTTCCGGATTCTCGACACATTTCCACCTACGGCCCTCGATTCGATGCCTTTTTTTCTGTCGCTTTCGAAGGCCATATTAATTAATATTCTTCGCTTCTTTTTTTTGCTTTGGACCCTCATCCAAAACACGTCCGGTCGCTTATATACCCACTTCGGTTTTTTTGCATATCTTTCTCTCGATACCCCGATTTTTTATTCATTCGCTTTTTATTAGAGGAAGAGAATCTTTCGTTTTTTCCCCAACATGGACGCATAAATTTTGGCGTACAAACAACACGGTCGTTTCTATAAACAAGATTATTATTATCATCATCAGCAGAGGGAGATACCCAATATTCGGCAGCTTTTTTGGGGTGAAGAATTAGGGGATGGGTGGTTTGTTTGTTTGGGTGTGAGGAGTTGTGTGTAACTTTGGATAATAAGGCGGTTTGGTTGGGATAGGCGGTAGGCGCGCGCGGACAGGCAAACATGATATGAAAGATGATGAAAACAACAACAATTCAAACAAAATAATTAATGATAATGTGGATAAGGGATAGGGCTTTTTTCTTGAATTGGATTGGGAGGAGGAAGAAAGTATATAACTTAATGGTCCCGAAATTAGGGGGATTAGCAAGAAAGGAGAGAGATATGATAGGATAAAGATATGGTGAAGAAGTTTTTTGTACAACAGATAAATGAGAAGTTTTGAGGTTGAAGTACCTTTGAAAAGTCTTGCTGTTTCTTCTGATGTTTGAGTGTGATATCTCGTGGGCGTTGTATTGTGAGGGTGGTTTGGATGAGCAAGGCGAGGGCGGAATTCTTGTTTAAGTTGTACCGACAAAAACAGGAGGAAGAGAAAAAAAGGGAACAAAGGAGAGGCTGTTTTGTCTGATGTAAATAAACATCCATGAGAACATTGAGCAACATGTATGTAAGAACCGAGTTTCATCACCCCCAGCCACTCAGCTCACCAGTCATCATCATGGTCATGGTCATTTATAGTCATTTCTCTTTTTTGTTACTATTTGAAACTTTTGTGCCTCTCAAAAAGAAATTAATTATCTTGTTTGCTGTCATGTGTATTACCTGCAGGGTACACCTCGGGATTCTTTTTTTTTTTTTTTTTTTCTTTTTTTTCTTCCAACACTCTTATGTCGCGACGTCATTGATACCATCCTCGGCTACCATTTGGCTCAACCAAAACCAACATCATCAACGGTCTCAAATCTTAAAATCGGTCCAAAGATTACCTAATCACAGGGCAAGCCCCACGAAAGAAGGTCTCCCACGGCTTATAAAAAAAGCCTTCCACTTCCGATCAATCAATGTACTTTTCTTCCTTTTTTCTCCCACCTTCCATCAACCCGACAAAAATCAACTGCATCAACCATCACAATAAGCCTTACTTCCCGACTATCGAAATAATCGCACATTACCCCGGTCTTTCGATAGTAATTGCTCAATATAGAATGCGAATCGGTAGCTAGGGGATATTGTCCGGTTGGCCGATTGTATCCATTTGGTTAATCCTAAAAAGATTAGTTGAACGAGATGACAGATATTCTGTCATTTATATATAAGGCTTGGGGGAGGACGTTAATCTTTTTGGGACTGACCAGATGGATACGATCGGCCAACTGGACAATATCCCCTGGCCACCGGTTCGCATTCTGTATTGAGTAATTGCTATTAAAGACCGGGCGGGGTTTACGCCCGTCCCAGTAAAGGATCTTGAATTTCTTTGCTGACGTTCTGTTTCTTTCCGTGAGTTATTTATTAGGTGGTTATGCAATCGTTTTAATAGTCAGGAAGATAAGGCTTACTGTGGTTGACGTGGCTTTGATTGATCTTTGCGTTGATCTTTCGTTGCGAGAGACCACTAATAACTTGAACCAAACAAATTTACTTTTATCAAAGTCTTTCATTTTGTGCTTCTAAAAGAAAATGGAATTGGGGACGTCATAAATTTCCCCAGTGTGACGGTTGGGACGACTGCCACTGCAATGACCAATTGATTAACCTTCCAAAAGGAACCTCGAATTGTAAAGTCAACACTTTACAACCCAATTGCAGTATATATATAGTTTCTACGGCCTTTCGTCACAGTCACAAACGTCCGCTTGGACTACACAAGCATCATCCCCAACCCCCCACTACGCTCGCCATCCTTGAGGATCAATATAAGGAGGAAGAATGGAAGGCAGTCGATTATATGGCACCTCGACAGGACAACCATGCTCGCCAACCGCCCAGGCGCAACGCCACCTTTAGCAAGGCTTTCGTTTGTTTTTCTGTTTTATAAGAAAATGGACGGAGGACATCACAAACGTCCCCACAGCTTGGACTACACAACCATCATCCCCAACTCGTCACCACGCTCACCATCCCTGAGGATGAGTACAAGGAGGAAGAGTGGAAAGCCGTGGACTACACGGCACCTGCTATGTATCGCAGCCTTCAAAAGCGAGAAAACAGCGAACAAATCCGGGCGGCCAAACAAGCAAATAAAAGACATTTTACCGACCTCGCCGAGAAACAGCTCATCTTCTTCCGAGTCCGAATCCTTCGAATCAGAATCAGAGGCCGAATCCTTGGCCAATGGCACGGACGCTCGAGCCGGACACGATTAGGTATGATTTGTATGGGACCGTGTCGGGCTCGAAGGCTTCCGTGCCGGACGCGGTGATCTGGCACGAGACTTGTTCCGCTCCGGCTCGAGAGGATTGGCCAAGATTGTCAATATGGATAGCGAAGCCAGCTGGGTGTTACAGGACCAGGTGACGCGATTGTATTACTCGGTGATAATTATTGGGCGGTCGTGGATTCCTGGAGCTGCGATTGCTGAAGAATGACGACATGGGATCGGGATTTGCATGGGAATGTTGCTCAAAGATATTCAACGAAGGCTCTGACCCGCGGGGGAAGTATACCTCCAAGTTATTAGCCAGACAAATTCTTACTTGTAATTGTCAGGCTTGTCATGGTTGTCTGCGTTACCCCTTGTATTTGTAGAACAATAACACCCCCTTGAGCGTTTGTTAGCGCGATACTTATGCCTCTCTAAATTATTAACATACCTTTTAAATATTAAAAACGTCTATTCGTTTTTTTTAGAAGGCCATATAAGAAATGGCTCTTTATTTATAGGAAGTCCTTTCTATATTTAAAAATCCCTTTTACTTATCAATCAGGCCTATTTAAAAACCAATAGGCATTTTCCATTTCAAAAACGCGTGTTCCATTTCAAAAAGGTGTTTTCTCATTTAAAAAGGTATTTTCCATTTCAAATAGGCATGTTTATTATCAGAGAAGCATAAATATCGCGCTAATAAACGTTCAAGGGGGGATATTGTATTGCCTTTTATGTTGTCTGCGTTGTCTTTCGCATTGCCTGTGCTGTTACCGGGGGTGGTGTTGCTCTCAAAGTCTGACGGACGTATCGAATCTCTTGTTGACGTCTGCTTGGAACTATGCCGTCAATTTGGATTATGAGCGCTCGAAAGATATTTTCCGTATTAAGACAGAAGGTAGATAGATAGTTACTACCTACGTAAGCCTTGATATCCTCCTCCCATATATTAAACCAAAATGATATCCATATCCTTCGCCTCTTTGTAGGACGACATTATCATCTCGTCACCAAATAGTCTACCCATTCCAACCCTCTTATTATAACAAAAAGGTCCCGATCTGGACTCAAGAGTCTCATTCAACGCCTACAAGACCTCAAATGTCATCTGGGAGTTCATCCAACGACCCCATGGGCCGACACAGACACACAGCGTCTTTCAATAACTAGCCAAAGAGCACAAGTCCAGATCAAATTTAATTTTCCATGAGCGTCCTACATCTTTTCACACACTCAGCACCAAAATGATACCGCCTTTACCAACATAATAAATACATATTTATAAAAAAAAAAAGCCATTCCTCCATTTCACATTTTATTTGTTCTATCACCATGAGACTAAACCTAGTCAACTAAAATAAATAAACGTTTCCCGATTTCAAGGAAGGATGTTAAGACTATCATCTTTCAGGATTGGGAAAATTAGAATATATAAGATCTATAAAAAAAAGATTGTCTTA